ATGTATGCTTTGGCTTGCATACAAAAATGGAGGTACTTTTGTTTTCTGCCGTTGTCATCTGCCGCACTCTATATAATAGCTCTGTTAAGATACCCTGGTTTCGGTGTACGGGTACGAGTAGTGTCATCTTGTTTTACTGATGTCTGTAATTCGATCATACTTTTTCTGTTTTCTTGCAATAGACAATGATATAATGCGAAAAATATGCACCTTAATTACGAGTATATAAATGTACAGACATCGACGAAAATATTGCTAACCATGAAAATCATGCTAACCGTACACGTACACCAAAACCGGGGTATCTTAACCTCTCTAATGTCTTAAACTGGGAACGGGTCTAAAAATATACTAAATACGGAGGAGCGTAACGCTGGCTGCACATGTAGGGAAAATAAAGGCCATTCAACATTTGAACTTCTGTTTTCGTTGTGGAGAAATTTATGGATAACATAGGCGTACGACAGTGGGTTGAGGGAGGGGGGGGGGCTGCGCTGCGTATTAATTTTTTTCTTACTTATCGTTTTAATTAAGATTGACTTTGTATTTTGTCATCCGTCCGTGTAGGAGATGTGTTCTACACTTACCTTTTATTCATCAACAATAAAATCATGAGTAATGTCGGGCAATGTCCACTAACGTCGGGCAAATTTTTGTCGGCCCCTTTAATTAATTATTTCCCGCCGAACGGCTATGATGGATAATATGGGATCAAGCTTAGTAATGTGCTCACGAATTCCACTGACACATATACAGATCGTTCTTCTTTAAATCTTCAGGGTTCGGCCGGATGGCCAGGTGCAAAGGGTCTTGCCGGACCTGACGGACTCCAGGTAGGGATTATTATACGAAGTTTGAAGATTTCGTTCAAATCTTAAGTTTCTTCTTAGTGTTGAATTATAGGAATTTGCCTAGCTTGCTTTGACTCTCAATCTGGTTTGTCATTTTTAAATGACAAACCAGATTGAGAGTCAAAGCAAGCTAGGCGAATTCCTATATAATTCAAATTATCAAGACATATCGCTTCTACCATGTGTACTCAATAATAGTAGCTAGTTTCCAGAAGTGAAATTAAATATTAGCATTTTTGTTTTATATATTTACGAGCATATAGTAATTTCGTTTCGCTCCATGGGATTTTCAATCATTGCAATTTAAGGTTGCATGCACCCTTCGAAATGTTGCTCGTTCCCAAGAAAAAAGTCATTTAACTTTAACAACAAGTGCACTTACCCCGCTAGCTTATAGATATAGATAAAGGTCAAATTAAATCCATGTTAATTGTATGGTGAACTTAAAACAAGAATACTAAATTTCTAACAAGGGGAATGAAGACACAACTTGAGGGTAGTTTCAGCATACATGCAGATTGTAGCCCTCTTTGGGACAATTGTAGAAGCGGTCTTAGGTGAAAAAGCTTCAAAAATTGCAGAATCGCGCTGCGAGAGTTATAACGGGGTCTACTTTTGATATTCGATCTGTTGATCTGCTGAATATGTTAGGTTGGGAATCCTTAGACCAGAGACGCAACTATATACAAAATCTATTTACATGTATAAAATAATTAATGACCATGCCGCCCCAAATTTAAAACAACTATTTCGACGATGCAGTGAAGGCGATTCCCCTTATGATCTTAGGAATCGTGAAACTGATCTAGTATTACCAAAACCAAAGAAAGAATTTCTTAAAAGAAGTTTTAAATACAATGGAGCTAACCATTGGAATAATCTGTCTATTGAAGCAAAAAGCGCTGATTCCGTTTAATTATTCATTCAAGAGAATTATAAAATCTACGGCGAGGTGAAGCTGACCTGTCCTCAATAATATTTCAATCTTTGTTTCGTTTATATATTTTTGTCTACCTGTTAGTCTTTGTATGCTTCATGTAACTTTATTTTGTACATATTATTTGTGTAATTAGTTAGTTAACACGCCCCTCATGAAAAACAGCTGATGTTGATGAGGCTATAGCGTGTCAAAATAAAGTATTATGTATGTATGTATGTATGTATGTATGTATGTATGTACAAATCTCTCCCCACACAAGACCCCATTTTTGAAGTAACTTGTACTTTGTGCAGAAAAATAAAAAGCAAAATACGTTAATTTTTTAGGGTTCGAAAGGAGAACCTGGTGCACCGGTTAGTTCAGTTTGACGTTTATAATTATCATTACAGACCTTGCGATATTGGGCAACAATAGGGAGCTTTATAGCAGCGACTTCGAGTACAAGTACGTGATTTGATCGCGTGCGAGGAAGTCGTAACTGTAGTCGTTCTCGTTTCTGTTCAACTGTTGCATGCTTTTATATATATATATATATATATATATATATATATATATATATATATATATATATATATATATATATATATATATATATATATATATATATATATATATATATTTAAAGCTTTCATCCACTTGTACATAAATGCTGTAGGTTTTCTGCTGTAGTCATAAGGCTAATTTATCTGATGAGTGCCACATCTTGTGGTACGAAACTAATAGTAATAAACCAGATGATCTTGATACGCGGAAAAGTACTGGCACTAGTTGTCAAATAGAAATCCATTTTATGATTAAAACAACTGAATATCTCCTGTAATATACTTTATTTCGATTCCATATTTGTGTCAGAGCTATAGTTCTCATAACCAAACATAATTACAAAATTTCAACTAGTTTCATAAAGAATAACGAAAGATATAATTGACTGAATACATCAAAATGGATTTCTATTCGGACAACCCTTTCTGAGCGCTGATTGGCTAAAATACGAACACGAGATCAACTGGTATGTATACGAAGGGGCTATGCCCCGAAACGTATTTATTTGAAATTTAATAAAATTTATTTATAACTTGAAGTTTTATATATATATATATATATATATATATATATATATATATATATATATATATATATATATATATATATATATATATATATATATAAATATAGCGGTAAACATGCAAACAATGAGAAAAATTTTCTATGAACTAAATCGCATGCAGGCTAAACTCCCCTGCAAAATTAGCCCCTTCTACGAGGAACAACACTGTCACGAATTAAGTGCAAATAAGCCATGAATAAATGGAGTTAAAAACAAGGTAGATATTTAGTGTTAATAAGTTATTTCCGCTGGATATTATATTTGCAGAAAAGAAGAAGAAAAAATATTTGTTTTAATTTTAAAAATCTTCGTGAGTATAGCCTACTACGAGATTTCTCCAAAATTTCGTACACAGATGGGCGACGGCTTACGACTTTTTCGCGTCAGTAGGCCTACGGGATGCCAAAAGCATACAGCGTGCTTTCGCATTGATGAATCTCGTACTGGTACTCGTAGTCGCCGCTAAAGCTCTCTATAGTCGTGTTTACACAACAAGCCTTGGCCGCCTTGCCCAAGGCCATTCCAAGGTAAATGTGGCGCGTTTACACCATTACACTATTTTTTTGAGACTGGCTATCACTTGGCTATTAGTAAAACACGGAGCACACGGAGCGCACGGAGTACATGGAGTACGGAGCAGTATACTTTAATATAATATAATATAATATAATATAATATAATATAATATAATATAATATAATATAATATAATATAATATAATATAATATAATATAATATAATATAATATAATATAATATAATATAATATAATATAATATAATATAATATATTAAAACTATAATAAAATACTATATTATAAAATACACTGTTTACTATTACAAATTTTTGTTCTTATTAATAAAGTTTTTTCGCGTTTTACACGTTGGGGAAGTAAGAAAATTGGGCTTTTAAAAAACACATATGCAAAACTGCCAAAAGCCATAGTTGTATTTAAAATAGGATTGTGAAACTCGTTATCTTACATCTATCAAGCTTATGAGTTATGTAGTTATGTTTATAATTTACTCTCTATATTATATTATATTATTATA